TTATTTTGATATTTTTATTAGGTCTGCAAAAATTTTACAGTGTATACTGTAAGAACTTGGAAAAAAGCAGGAACCAAAAGTCAACAAAATGTCTGCTCTGATTATAAATATCTGTTTTACATGACAGAAAAGCCTTGAACAGCTGAATGAAATTAATTTTTCTTGATATTTAAGATATTCAAGTTCCAAATAACACACTTCAGACTCTAAACAAGCCAGAAAGACAAAGACAACTAGGGCAAATATTTATCGAGAACATCATTAATAAATAAGCAGTTATTTCCTGTGTCTAGCAAAGATATTTAAAGAAATATCTTTCAAAGAAGTTAAGGTTACACAAGTTAGAGATTTTCTTCTAAAGGAACACAACCCTTATAGATTGCTCAATATGCTTACAATATGCTAATTAAAGATTCATACATAGAACCAAGTAAAGCTGAAAGATGTTTCATAAGAAGCCTTAAACCATAGGTTTAAAGCCAGTTTTTTTTTTTTTTTAATATAGGAAGAGAGTTTACATTTAATGAACACTGTGACATCTAGATAACTGGGATGGAAAATCAACACATGTCAGCATTGTCTGCAACTCAGTCTATACTGAGGGCAAAATTATTTTCAGTATTCCTGTTTAGCTCTTTAATGCTTCTATTAGTTCCATCTTAGGTTAGGGAATAAATGATAAAAATAAAAATTCACTGAGGAACGTGACATACATATTTGTATATTTTCTGCAATGGGAAAAAAAATACTATGCATTTGATGTGGATAAGAACATGTAGAGTGTTCAGAATGATTTTTTTTTTACTTTTTTATTTTATTTCTTTCTCTTTTTTTGCATGTCCTGTTATTTATTTCAGCATATTATGGGGTTACAAACGTTTAGGTTACCTCTATTGCCTTTGCCCCACCCAAGTTGGAGCTTCAAGTATGTCCATCCCCCTGACAGTGTCACCACCCATTAGGTGTCAATGTACCCATCTCCTCCACCCCTTCACACCTGCCTGACACCCAAGGAATATTAGTACCATATGTGCACATAGTGTTGATCAGTTAATACCAATTTGATGGTATGCACATGTGGTGCTTGTTTTTCCATTCTTGTGATACTTCACTTAGTAGAATGGGCTCTAGGTCCATCCAGGATAATATAAGAGATGCTAGATCATCATTATTTTTTGTGGCTGAGTAGAACTTCATGGTATACATATACCACATTTTATTAATCCACTCATTTATTGATGGGCACTTGAGTTGTTTCCACATCTTTGTAATTGTGAATTGTGCTGCTATAAACATTCTAGGCCAGATGTATTTTTACAGAATGTCTTTTTTTCCTTTGGGTAGATGCCCAGTAATGAGATTGCTGGATCAAATGGTAGTTCTACTTGCAGCTCTTTGAGGTATTTCCATTTTAGTTTCCACAGAGGTTGTATTTGTTTGCAGTCCCACCAGCAGCATATGTGTGTTCTTATCTCTCCTCATCCACACCAATATTTATTGTTTGGGGACATTTTGATAAAAGCCATTCTCATTGGAGATAAGTGATATCTCATTGTAGTTTTGATTTGCATTTCCTGGAGGATTAGAGATGTTGAGCATTATTTCATATGTTGTTGGCCATTAGTCTATCTTCTTTTGAAAAGTTTCCTTTCATGTCCTTTGCCCACTTTTTAATGGGATTCTTTGATGTTTTTCTTGCTGATTTTCCTGAGTTCTATACGATTCTACTTAGTAGCCCTTCATCGGATGTGTAGCATGTGAATATTTTCTCCTATTCTGTAGGTTGTCTGTTTGCTCTCGTAATAGTTTCCTCGGCTGTGCAGAAGCTTTTTAATTTGATCAGGTCCCATTTATTTATTTATTTTTTCTGTTGCTGTGATTGCCTTTGAGGTCTTCTTCATAAATTCTTTCCCTAGGCCAACATCTATAAGAGTTTTTCTAACATTTTCTTCTAGAATTCTTATAGTTTTATGCCTTAGGTTTAATTCTGTTATTCACCATGAGTTGACTGTTCTGAGGTGAGAGGTGTGGATCCTGTTTCAGTCTTCTACATGTGGCTATCCAATTTTCCAAGCATCATTGATTGAATAAGGATTCTTTTCTCCAGTGTGTTTTTGTCTGTTTTGTCAAAGATTAGATGGCTATATGAGGGTGGTTTTATATCTGGGTTCTCAGTTCTGTTCCATTGGTCTATGCCTCTGTTCTTGTGCCAATATAATGCTGTTCTATTTACTAAAGCACCCCAAAATAAACAAAATTGGCATGACTCTTGCTAGATTAATGAGAAGCAGAAAAGGACTCCAATCAGCTCAACCAGGAATGAAAAAAGATAAATTAAAACTGATACCACAGAAATACAAAGTATCATCTATGAATGCTATAAAAACCTTTATGCACATAAACTTGAAAAAGTGAAGGAAATGGATGAATTCTTAGAAATACACAGCATCCCTAGGCTAAATCAGGAAGAAATAGAATTCCTGAACAGTCCAATATCAAGTACTGAAATTAAAGCAGCAATAACAAATCTTCCTGAAAAGAAAAGTCCTAAGCCAGATGGTTTCACACTTGAATTTTACCAACTTACAAAGCAGAACTGGTGCATATCCTGCAGAAATTATTCCACAACATTGAGAAGGAAGGAATCCTTCCCAGTGCATTTTATGAAACCAACCAACATCATCCTGATATCAAAACCAGGAAAAGACACACACACAAAAAGAACCACAGACCAATATCCCTTATGAATATAGATGCAAATTCTCAACAAATTCTTAGCAAACCAAATTCAGGTGCTTATCAAGAAAATAATCCATCATGATCAAGTAGGCTTCATCCCAGAGATGCAGGGATGGTTCAAAATATACAAATCATAAATATATTTCAACACATGAAGGGAAGTAAAAACAAAGACTATATTATATGATCCTTTCAATAGATGTAGAAAAAGCATTTGGCAAAATTCAGTGCCCTTTTATAATAAGACTGCTTAACAAAACAGGCATAGACAGGACTTAGCTAAAAATGATAAAAGCCATATATGAAAAACTCACAGCCAATTTCATACTGAAGATGGAAAAATTGAAAGCACTGCTGCTTAGAAATGGAAGACAAGGTTGCCCTCTATCACCATTTGTTCAACATAGTGCTGGAAGTCTTAGCCAGAACAATCAGACAAAAGAAGGAAATCAAGGGCATCCAAATGGGGCCGAAGAGGTCAAACTATTGCTGTTTGCTGACAATATGATCTTATATCTAGAAATCCCAAGGATTCTGCCATGAGACTACTGGAATTGATAAATAAATTCAGCAAAGTCTCAGGTTACAAAATCAAGGTACAGAAATAATTAGCATTCCTATATGCCAACAACAGTCAAACCGAATATCCTTCACAATAGCAACAAATAAAATGAGATACCTAGGAATATATTTAACTGAGGAGGTTAATGACCTCTGCAGGTAGAACTATGAAACTCTGAGGAAAGAAATAGCAGAGGATGTAAACAGGTGGAAAACCATACCATGCTCATGGATGGGCAGAATCAATATTGTTAAAATGTTTATACCCAAAGTGATCTGCAGATTCAGTGCAATCCCTATTAAAATACCAACATCATTTTTTTGCAGATCTAGAAAAAATAATTCTATGCTTTGTATGGAACTAGAGAAGATACCATATAGCAAAAGCAATCTTAAGCAAAAAGGACAAATTGGGAGGCATCAATTTACCAGAATGATTCTTACTGTATTACTAACATGCTTACAGTATCTAGGCTAATCTTGAATATTTCTCTCTGCTTTATCAATTTGAAGAAACTATGAACTCAAATCCATGCATTTTCTTATCCTTAAGAGATAACCACTTGGTTTACCTAATATATCAATTCAAACTATTTGAGCTGTGACTTGATAACCCACAGCATTACCTTATAGGCCCCATTATTCCACACCTATAAACTTACACTAATATTATATAAGTTAAGTCTGATTTAATTCAAATGCATCTTATTTCATTGTGAATATTGGTGGCAAGGATGTGCCCACTGACCATAGCCCACCTGAGGTACTGAGATGAGAGTTGTGGACAAGTAATAAAGGAAAGTTACAACTTTTTTGGTTTTTTAATACCTTTATCTTTCCCCTCCTGGATACCTACTGTTAAACAAAAACATGTTATAAATTACTCTTAGGCTTGAAATGATTCTTGCCATATAGTAGGTTGAATTATTAAATCAGGCATAGTTTATCTTTAGCTTTTATTTTATAAGAAAAAATTCTTCTATGTTTATTTGCTTAAAAGTTAATATTTGAGGAGTAGGTTTAGAGAAATTACTAGCTGAAACAGGACTGTATTCTCTACTCCCTCATAATTACTCCCCAGTAATTCCAAGATTTCCACATGAAACATAGATGTGTTATCATGTAGCTATATAATATTTCCTAGTTATTCTAATTTTGATAGATGATATTAACAAAGAAAAATTCATTTCATGCACTTTTTACAATAATAGAAATAATTTTTAAAAAGACAATTATAATGTGTAAAGAAAATTCAGCAATGGTGTCAAGGAAACAAGAAAACAAGTAAATAAAACCTACCTGATTATATGCTAAATTAATGAATAAAAAAAAACTGAAGGACACAAAGCAACAAAAAAATATAGATTTGAGCTATAAAAATGAATGGTGTGAAATTATTTGAGATAAAAATTTTTGCTGCAAATAGATTTGAAGTATTTTTTCATATTTTAATGAAAAAAATTCAACTTAAACATCTCATTTTGTTGTTGTTTTCTTTGTGGATGTATCTGCTAAGAGAGTTTTAGCTTTTGTATGTTTAAAACTACAAAAGCATTTTGAGATGTGTGATTCTTTAAAGTTCTGACCTTGTGGTGTTTGGAAAGTTCTCTGGTAGATCTCTGTCAACTTGGCCCTCAGCTGTGAAGACAGTTGAGAAAGCTAAGCCTAAGATACACAATTTGGTTGGGCGTGACACTTACCTGCTTGATTTGTGGTTACATTTACAGACACAGACTGCCGGGCTCCCGGGCTCAAGTCGGACACTCCATTCACTGCCTCAATCTCAAAGGTATAGTTTGTGTGAGCGAGCAGATCCACCATCATGACAGAGGTGTTTTTCAAGCCGCTTTGCCGGGGGAGGTACCTGACATTACTGCCACACTCCTCACACACCCCTGCATGGGAGTTGCACTTCTTGCATGCAATATAATATGATACATCTTTCCTTCCACCAGTGTCAGCAGGCGGAATCCATTCCAGAAAGACACTAGTTTCATTAACATTGGAGATGGCATTCCGAGGAGCGGAGGGGGGTCCTGGTTTGCAAAGTAAAGTGAGAAAAACATATTTTAAGATGATATTAATTAGGCATCATTTACCACACCAATCCCTGGTCTGAAGGAAAAGAAAAAAACAAATTTTCAATCTATCTTTTAAGTCGTAATTTGTAACTATCTTTGAAAAAATGTAGCATAGTTTTATAGGGACAATAATAGTGAGGTTTATGCCCTATGAAATGACTTATCTTGGCATTGTTATAATACTTGTTCAGTAAAAGCAGATATTTTGCTCAGAGTGTATGTAAATAATTATGGAACAAACCAATGTACGTACAATTAATGTTTGATAAAGTTTTATATTTAAATTTTGGGGGATTGAAGTGAACATTTCCTCATTGAAATCTGTGAGTAAATATAAAGTATCTACTAAGAAATGAGCACAGATAAAAATAGGATTTTTCAGTGTGTCTCTCCTGACTACAAATTCTGCAGCAAGTAAAAATATCTCTTTAGCTTACTTCAAAATAGATTTCATATCTACATGATAAAACCATCTATAGAGTTTGAAACTCTCTCAAATGTCAAGAAAGCACTAGGCTTTAAGTAGGTAGTCAACATTACAACCTGCAGTAAAACATCTATTATTTGATATTGTTTTATATGACGGTTCTGTAAGTTGTGAATTTTAGATAATTGAAAATCTAACACTTATTTTAAAAATAACCCTCAAAAGCACTACAATAGGAAGAATGAAAGTGTTCAGATTTTGCAGGGTTAGCAGAACAAATTTCAATCTCCAATAACCTACCACAATAGAGAAAGAAATGATTTAACCCAAATACTTTCATAGAATCATAACATCTTAAAATATTATTAGTGTAACTTTCCTAATTTCATGAAGTATTTCTTAGATACTTTATTTTTCTATATACATATTAATGGAAATTGGATGTACTTTTAAAAATATATTTTATATTCAGAATCATCTTCTTTCAATACATTGGAATATTTCCATTAAAATTAGAGTAATGAAATCTACACTTAGAATTGCTTAAAAAATTTCTCAGATAAAAGGTAACAATGTCTTCCTTACATATCATTTTAACTATTCCTGAACCTAATAATTAGCATAATAAAAAGAATCAAATTGATTATATAATGTCTACCTCTATAGTAGGTTCTTAGATATTTAGAGTTAAAACTTCAGTCACCTGTTAATATATGGTCAGATGTTCTCAAAGAGAAAATAGATTTATATTTGTCTCAGAGATAACTTAATATTAATATAATCCTCCCTATAGGGAATAAAATAAAGTATTATGGTAGTTGAATGATTTATAAGCATAAATTAAGCTACTTCGGATGATCTAGCTTGTTATCCTAATATGCATTTTCTGTTCCAAATGTAAAAATTAACAATAATTTCTATCTAATATTTATTAAATCAGGACTGTTGAGGAGTAATTTTTAAAATGTTAGGAAAGGTACCTAGGATTTAAGATTTAGCTGTACCAAATGTCATTTAAATGAAAGAACTCCTTAACTAAAGAGTTGACATTTTGTCAAAACAATCCCTTCCTTGATTATATTTATGGTTGAACCCCATGAATTTTTTCACAACTACAGCCTCACACACTTCAAATAAAGTAGTCACTTTTAAGTTGAAATACTTACTTAAGATGGAAATACAAGTATTATTGTTTACTACAAGCTTTAGCTTATTTAATAGTGGAAAGTTATAAAAGAAAATGGAATTTGAGATCAAAAGTTACAGGCTGAACTTCTGAGAAAAAGATAAAATATAGCTGAAATAAGTCTAGTTTAAAATGTTGTCAAACTTCTGTGTTTTTTTTTTCTGCCAACTGAGATATATTTACATTTAGTACTTTTCCTCTAACTCTATAAAAATGCATCAGAGTCTGACTTTTCCTTTTCTTCTGACTCTTCAACTAACAGCTCCTCAACATTTGGATGAGGACACATACACCTCTAAAGTCAAAATGAAGCTCCAACTTAAGTAAAGCCCTAAAGTAGAGATAAAATGTAGAGGCTCAGGCTAAAATGCATCTAAAAATTCATGTAATGAAATTCCACTGCCTTGGTAATAGATATAATATACAAACCAAACTAGAACTGTGAGAAGAATCCTTGATTTAGGCAGATTCATTAGAATCTTGGGTTTTAATTTTGTTTGATTTTTTTTCTGCAGATTTATATAATTCTGTTTTCCAGATTAAAAAACTATATATGTTCCAGGAAAAAAAATATTAAAAGGAGTTGAAACCATAAATTCAATTCCAAAGAGCCAAAGGCAAAGTGAAGTTCAAGATCTTCATCTGAACATCAATCAAGTCATAAGGGAATCATATGCAGTATTTGTGGTACTATGAATGCAACTAAAAACAGACACACACACTCACAGATTACATATTAGAAAGATCTTGTATATGAGTCCCAATAGTCTTTTTGATAAATGCATACAAATTAGCATTCATTTCAAACATAATATTAGAAATTCATACATCTGCAGACAGAAAATGTAAAGCTTGCCTGTGGGCTTCGGTCCTAAAATAGTGCTAGCAGTCCTTGCCACCAATGCACAGCCTCCCCCAATTCCCAAATCTAACAAATTTACAGAAAGGGAGGCTCACATTTATGCTGAAAAAGAAAGATCATGGCTGGACCATTTAAAGAAAATACTAATTAGAAAATCAATAACATTTAAAAGATAATTGAAGACATGTTTTCTCTCTTTAATATGCCACTCTATTAGCTAGCCAACATTTTCCCTGTAATTTGGGAAATCTGTTTCTCTCAGTAATCTAAATAATTGTTTAAATCCACTGCAACTAAAATGCATTACATTCATAGTTTTTATATTCTCCACTCTATTAACTTATATCCTTCCTAAAGCATATATAATAATGTCATTTATTCATTTAAAGAAGAAATGTTTTTCACTAATAATTATCTAATCCATAAAATCATCAGTGTTGGGATAAAAAGAACGGTCTTTAGTAATGTAAAGTTAATTAATAGCAATGATTTGAGGAATTCAGAAAATATGCTTTGCTGACACTCTGAAATTCAGATGAAATTTCAATCTACAATTATTTGACAGCAAGAAATCTGTATCATCTCGTTAAATTTAGAGCTGGAAAAGTTTTTGTGAACATATTAGAGAACAATTACAATTTATTGGGACCTAAAATAGTAAAACAAGGCAGGTTATGGAAATGGAACATTATGAGGATGGAGGGATTCAGTTTCCTTCCCTTTGATTTTCTGTTTTTGATTGGTTTGCTATAGAGACTTGACTTCTGGACAACTCTGAAAGTACTGTCATCAAGTAGACAAATTCATAAATGCTACATTCCCAGAAATACATGGAAAACTAGAAAAACAATAGTACCAAAAGCATTGAGAGATGTTTCTGCATAACTGCAAATGTTGGAATTGAATGTTTAGTATTCATCTACTCTAATTACATGATCAGCAAATATGTTACTAAAATAGTTAAGGACACTCACTAGCAAGAAACATAGCAGCTGCTTAAAAACCCTAGCTAAAAATTGGTTTATATGTGACTCATATGTCCGATTTGCCACCCCTACTTCTCAATATTCGTGAAGTGTCCCTTGTCTTCTTTTATAAATGACCTTCTTAGTGACCTTTGCAGTTTAGTGGAGCAAGTTAGAACAAGAGGGTAAAGGTGCCATTTGCTGCATAATTATATGATCAGAAATAGGCATAGAAAGAAGAAGAAGAAGAAAAAAAAAAGGTTTAATGTGGATGGGGAAGTGGATTTATCAAAGTGGTATTTGTCTCTCATGAACACTAAAATAAGCCACAAAATAAAAGGGAGAATTCTATATCTGCATTTCAAGTGTTGAATTTGAAGTTAGGGAAGAATGGATGTTTCTAACAGTGAGTGATAAAAGAGACTCAAATTTTTCAATGCTTACTCAAGGAAATTGAAATTTGGTGAAAACTATATAGAGAGGATTAAACATGATGCCTGTTTTAGGGGGAACTGCTAATAGACTATAACAGGCTCCATCATACTGTTTCTTCAGACTGGTGAAAACTAGCATCACCAAATATGCATGGGTTTCCTTACTTGTGCATGCCATTGTGGGTGGATCAGACTCACTCCTGAAATAATCCTTTTCACAGACACAAGAGGTTGAAGCTTCCTCATGGGTATAACTGTGAGGTGGACATTTGCTGCAGCTCTGGCTGTGAGGTGAGGCTTTGAAGAACCCAGGTCTGCACACTGTCAAAAGAAATAAGAGACTAAGCTTTTCCCCAGAACAGATGCAGTGTTTGTTTTGTGAATCATGTCATTATTTTGACTAGTATACACAGATTACAGATAATACAATCTTTGTAGCAATTTTAAGAATTTTTCATAAGCTTCTGGATCATAAATACCAGGGTATTCATTCAGGTCATTAAATATTTATTTAAAATATTTAAATTAAACATGTATGCAATGTACATATTTTTTAATGATTTTTATGCTACAGGAGCTTATAAGAAATTATAAGTGGCAAATATTTATGTGTATTTAAAACTGAAGCAGTGCTTTGTGTACAATTTCACTTACTGTATTATTAATTACTGCAACTATGTTGAAGAAATGCAAATTATTCCATATACTCCTAGAATGGTATGGTATACAGTAGGTGCTCAAAATTTTGCTATTGAACAAGTAAATAAATGAGTAGATGCTAAAAGCTTCACAAATTCTGTCAGATTGGGGAGAACACATAAACAAACTGGTATATCATCCATATTATATTGACTGGAAGAGTCAGATTTTCCACATTTGTTTTGCATTTTTACTCCATTTTAGAACTTTTCTTTGAGATTCGTATTGATTCAAAATTTATCTATTTTATCTATTTATCTATATTATCCAATATCAGTCATACTTACACTACAGAAATTGTAATGATCTATAAAGGGCAGAAACCATGTCTTATTCAGCTTGCATTTACAAAAGTTATGCCAGGGATTGACCAAAATAAGTGTTCAAAAGTGAAGTATCCCAAGAATGGAAAAACAAGCACCAGATATATTCTCCAGCAAACTGGTATTAACTGAATAGCACCTAAGTGGACACATAGGTACTACAGTAATTGGGTATTGGGCAGGTGGGAGGGGGGAGGGGGGCGGGTATATACATACATAATGAGTGATATGCACACCATCTGAGGGATGGTCATGCTGGAGACTCAGACTTGTGGGGGGAGGGAGGGAAGGGCATTTATTGAAACCTTAAAATCTGTACCCCCATAATATGCCGAAATAAAAAAAAAGGAAAAAAAAAGTGATATGAAATGCATGCATGAATGAATGGCATATAGCATGAAGATTCCAACTGAACTATTTTAGAATCACATAAAAAAATGTTCCCTGATATTTTTGTTAACATTTCTAAGTTGTTGATCAGGTAAGTAAATGTTCATGAAGTAAATCATTTTATTCTGTGGATTTCCTAGATGTTCATTTTATTTTTCGCTGTGGCGAATAAAGCCCAACTTTAATACCCCAACTATGGGCCACTTGAAACCACCAAACTGATAGTTTGAATACTTTTTAGGGCTTACTTTACATAAAGTTATCAACTCTATTTTTTTTTTCTATTTTCAAACTCACTACATATACTAAAGAGTATTTATTCAAGCATCAATGCACATTTGCTGAAGCTCAAAGGTGAACTTGTATTTCAACAGAAATTTTTGAGAAACATAATGAATTGAGGCCAATTTCCATATGCTATAAGTGATCTCAGGTTTTAGTAATCCAGGCTAAGGCTCTCTGCCATCACCATGAATAATCAGGAATTGGCAAAAAATGAGAAGGTACTTTTTTCAGTAGATCTAATTATAGTGATAGGAAAGCCTTAATGCTCTTATAAATTCTGAGAGAATGTGAAGTTATTTGAGAGATAAGAAGAGCTTTTGATAGTATTAGGGACATTCCTGTAGTTAAATGATTAGGAGAAGATTTAAAATATTATTTTTCTTATAATAGGATTGCTGTAGCAGCCATTACCATACTTAGCTCAGTTATCCAATTTTTCTTCTTTTATCCTTTTAGTAAAACCATTCTCACTTTAAACGCTATTTGCTTTCAAAGACATGAAGTGTCAATCCACATGTTCTGAGAATTTGGAATTCATTTATCATTCATGAAACAGAAGTCATTTCTCTTCTTTTTAATTAGTGCCTTTTAAGTTAAATACTCCATATGATATCATATGTAACACTGCTGTTCAACTTCCCATGGAAGCATTGGAAACAGCAAATAATATAAATGCAAGCAAAAAGTAGATAAAACATTTTTAGCAGATACGGTGGGCCAGAAACTCTCCTTGGAATGGGTTACAGAGGTAAACAAGATAGACTGTGGCCTTACCTTTATGAGTCTTAAAGGTATTACATGAATAATACCTTTCAAACTCCTTACAAGCTCTTTTCTCTGTTACTACCTGCTGATGCGATCATTTGTCTTGTGTTGAGAAAACAGACGTCATCAGAGAGGGGCATTCTCACTTTCCTACCATCAAATCTCCAAACCTATATGTGGTTGCACCCATTCTCTCTACCTTTTTTTCATTTAAAATAAAATCATGCTCTGGCTTGTATAAAAGAAAAATAGCTTTATTTGAATAAGAAACACCCTCTTTGCTCTCTGAGATGAAACGTTTTAGTGTCTACAATCCTTTTGACATACTCAGAAACAAAGCAAAACAAACAACGAGAAATCTATCAACCTCACTTGATCCCAGTTCTTGTAGCTACCAGTTTTGTTCCACCTTCAGAACACATTTTCTTAAATTATTTTTCCATACATACATAGTTTCTTGTTCTAAATCACACGATGACACACTTCACTCCATTGAAACCTCTCAACAAAAACGTTTGTCAAGATTGCAGTTACTATACACACTTATTTTTTTTTATTTTTTACTTTTTTATTATTTTTATATTAAACTGATAAGAACAGATACTACACTCGATCTTAGCCAAAAGGCCGAGAAGTGATACTATACACACTTCTCAGCAGCATTCGACCATGTTCCCTTTTTGGGAAAATCTAGTTATTTTCATTACAAAAATGCTAGCATAGCCCACAAGTTTCCACACAATATATAAAAATTCTTCAAATGTAGTCTCCTACCAAACTCACTGTCTCCATTAATACCAGCCTACATAGAATTCTCTACACTTGAGGAACTCCTCTCCTCTGCCTTTGAACACTGCAGGAAAAACATTCCTGGCAAAAAGACAAGAAGCATAAATAAATTTATATATATATATATATATATATTTTTTTTTTTTTTTAAGAAAAAAAGCCTATACTCCATCATAAGAGATTTGGAAGACATTGTGGGTATTGTTTATTTATTTTTTTGAGTGCACACTTTCTGTCAAGTAACAAGGCACGTTTCGATTGTGGTGAGAAAATAAAAATTGTTCTTCGCACCCATGAAGCTACATTGCACTTCATGGATGGAATAATAAACAAAGAATAAACAAGTGATGACCAATAGAAACAAAATTGATTTTTATACTTTAATCATGACAATATTTAACAAATCATTATTTAGGTAAACAGGAAAATTTCTCTAAATTTCAACTCAATATGTTTTATTCAAAAATAAAGGAATTTTCTGAAGCAAATTTGTTCTATATCATGCCTGAATATTACCTAAATTTTTGGATAACACTACGCAAGTCCATTTAAGTGGAGCAAGGAGTAGGTGATAAAAAATGCACCCTATAGTAGCATGTTTTATGAGATTGTTTTGGTAATTTCTTAGAGGGAAAGAGACTACTTTTAATAATTATTTCTATATGTGCTTGATGACTCATTTTATATTTAGTTTTATTTTTGATGTTCAACTATATTTATTGGAATGATATACTAATACAATGTTAATTTTATAATCAAATATTCAAAATCAAACAGTATGATATAGCCAGAAAACAAAATACTATGCAGCCATTTAAAATCATCCTCCTAAAGAATATATAATCAGGTTGGGAAATGGCCATGATATAATAAAGTTAATAAAACAGCATTCAAAACTATAAATTCCACAAATATTATAAGATTCTGATGTTTACAAAATGTTCTGTGTTTACAAAATTTGGTCTGTTACCTGAGCTGGAGTTCAGTGGCCCCATCATAGTTCACTGTAACCTCGAACTCCTGGGCTCAAGTGATCATCCAGCCTCAGTCTTGAGAGTAGCTGGGACTATAAGTACACACCACCAAACTGGTTAGTTTTTGTTTTTTGTTTTCTTTGACTTTTGTGGAGATGGGATCTTACTATGTTGCCCAGGCTGGTCTCAAACTCCTGCTCTCAAGAGCCAAGGCTCATTTTAAATGCAACCATTTTTACAGTGCATATGCTAATCTGCAAGATTGCATGTTCTTTCCCTACTCATCTTTTAGACCTTTGAACCACTTATTCAGCATCTGTATTATGTCGGGTAACAATTTTTTGGTCATAATTTTATTTATGTGAATTCTCATCCTCCCCCAACTCATGTAAACCTTCTGGACAATAGAAACTATCCATTTGATTTTCATCACATATAGCATAGTTCTTTGTATTAAAGAGATATTCATCAGTATTTACTAGTGTAAACAGTATTTCTGTGTCCTTCTCAGGGTCTAAATGACATAGCAGAAGCTTAACAAAAGCTGATAAACCTGAATTATTTAAATATTAATTCCTGGCAGGTAAAAAATAATATATATTGCAGTTTACACTCACTAGAAGTTTTGCACAACTGACTAAACTCTAGTTTTAATATTTATTATTCTAAGAATAAAGGTGCTAATGATATCTATTAAAATACAGTTTTTAAAACTAAACAGGAAAACCGTGTCATCAATACATCAATATTCAAATGAATAAAAATTTTCACTTGTTAAAATTGTGAAAACTTGTATAATCTGATTAGAAATTTTATAAGGGTTCTCATAATTTCCCAAATTTTTTAAACTGACAAATTAGACTGAATTTTCACACTACTTTCAATTAAATTACTTTTAATGTCTCCAATATATCTTTCAATTAAATTACTTTTAATGTCTCCAATATACCCTTAAAGAGCCATCAATCTTGGGATGCCTAAGTATATTCACTTTATAAATCAAAGACAACACTTCAGGAACATGACTACTGAGAACATTTTTCTAAAAAATTAATATAGAAAATTGCTGAGTTAGTAATTTAGAATATTACAATTC